ATATACTAATTTTTAAAGTATCAAATTCAATTTTTGTTCAATAAAAATCTTTCAAATGCGACTGTAGCTTTTTTTCCCCCAAAACTTTGTCTTCAAAATAAGGGTGCGTCTCATATTCCGAAAAATACGGTATATGTTATAAATTCTAAAAACGTATATGTTATAGTTGTGCAATGTGTGGCCTACTGGCTAGCGTTTTCGGACTGTGAATTGAAGAATTCGTGGCTTGTGGCTCGTTCTCGTGATTTTTCTTTTTAAAAATTACAGTTAAGTCCCACTATCAGATCAGAAGAAAATAACCCAAGAACTGGCTAGCTGCTTTTCATCTGGCCTATCAGTTCAAAATTAAAATAGGGCCAACTATGCGTCGATAGCCCTTTATGTAGCTTGAACGAAAATTTTGAAACGAACAAATAAATGTAATAGTTTGTGTACTATTAACTTATTTGTTTAAAATATCTTTACCGGTGAAGTTTGAAAATCGGTTATTTTGTTTTAACGGAGCTGTTGCATAAATTATCTGCTCTATGTAAAGAACTTAGCTGATGAATAAACTATCTGCGCTGTGTAAATAACTCTGATGGTAAATTAACTATCTGCGCTGTGTAAAGAACTTAGCTGATGAATAAACTATCTGCGCTGTGTAAAGAACTTAGCTGATGAATAAACTGTCTGCGCTGTGTAAAGAACTTAGCTAATGAATAAACTATCTGCGCTGTGTAAATAACTCCGATGTTAAATTAACTATCTGCGCTGTGTAAAGAACTTAGCTGATGAATAAACTATCTGCGCTGTGTAAATAACTCCGATGTTAAATTAACTATCTGCGCTGTGTAAAGAACTTAGCTGATGAATAAACAATCTGCGCTGTGTAAAGAACTTGAAGAAAAGCAGGAATTTAGTTTTTAAGGATTCCATGTCGACTACAAACTACTAGTCAGTAATCTAAAGCTTACCTTAAATCAAAGAAACATGGCTTTTCGCCGCTTATCCTTGTACTGCAAGCTTGTTGTTGTCCTATGCTAGGCTTAGAGAACCCTAGAACGCGTTCTTCAGCGCATGTTACTTTTTCGTATTTTTTTACATTTATATTTTTTCTGAAAGAATTCATAATAGACACATCTATGTAGTTTTGCCACCGTGCATTTTCTGTTTTGTTTTAAAAAATAAAACTTCATATATATTCCGGCCTTAAATAAAATCCTACCATTCTTAGAAGGTCAAACCTGGTAAGAAAATCCTCTCTTTTTTTTTAATCCTCGTTCGTGAAAAAAGAAATACAGGAAAATAATTGCTAAAAATAAATCGTGTGTTTGGTAAGGAGCTTTATTTGTTTGTTTTTTAAGGCTTCCTCACAAAATCCTTAATTTTGAACTGATAGACTAGAAGGAACTGCAGTGGTTCAACAGCATCCACAGATAAGTCTGCGGTTATTCTGTTCGTAAAGTATACATTTGCATCCTAGTTGTATCTTTGTAATTCCTCATTTTTCTTTCGCTTTATTTTATTTGTTTGAGAAGTTAGGGTAAAACTGCACAAGAGTTATCTGTCCATAGCCATCCTTAATTTTGAGCTGATAAACTAGAGAAAAGGGAGATAGTCAAGAGCACTAACCGCCAAATCTTGGGTTGCTGTGTCTGTTTTTCTTGTTTCTTGTTTGTAGTTAAGTACAAAGCTACACAAAGAGCTATCTGTGCTCTGCCTACCACGGGTATCGAAATCCTGTTTCTAGCGTTGTAAGTCCACAGACATATGCTCTGACTGAGTAATAGGATCTGACTCTCACCACTATAACGCACGCATGACTCCAAATTACAGTAACGTTTTTTTTTCTTGTTTTATGGTAACGAGACGCGAAAGATGGAATTGCAGATCCATATTCTGACACATTAACCATTGAACCATGCTCTGCTCGAACCTGATAAGGAGCTGAACGTGTTGTTGCGTTCGTTTTTTTTACTCTAATCTTCCATGAAAACAGATGAGAGTACTGTTAATTATTTTTTTAGCTAAATTAATATAATAATATCAAGAGATATCTCAAAAATATATTGTGAAATTAAAAAATAAATTAAGCAAAGAGCACGTAGGGTTTCTAAATATGATTACAAACATTTCAAATTAATAAAGTATAGAAATGAAACCAAAATTGTTAACTTAAATTGAAAAGATCCCAATGAAATCTCAGCAGAGTTTTCGGAATACGAATACGGTTGACGAAATAAATAGTTTGCTACATGTTCACAAAATTCCATAATTAAGGATTAAAAGATAAAATCATTTTTTCATGTTCGTTCAATGTGTTAAAAACCTTTTACAAACTTATAAGTTGCAGAATAATGCCCAGTCTTGGAACGTTGTTGTTGTTTCTGCACAAAACTGCGCATTGGGCTATCTGCGATCAGTTTTCAGAAAACGTGACTGAAAAACACAGAAAAACCGTCGTAAATATTTGCGATCCACTATCAAAACTACAGGTTTTTATATACGTTTTTATCCGCTTAGATAATTACGTTAAAACGAAATGTATAACAAAAAGCTAAATATAAGGAGAAAGTTATTAAAAAAACAAGTAGTTTATCTATAAGAAGATCATGTATTGCAGTTAGAAAAATACAACATAAGTCACATTTTAAAAGTTTTTTTTTTTTTCTAATGATTACATAGACGTTTATCTTAATATTATTGATGTTTCATTGGCCTGTATTTCAAACTCTAATCGTGATATTGTAAACACCTTTATATTAGAATCCATGTTAGTCCACCTTATATATATTTATTGTATCCGATAAAAATTGTACGGCGTTCATTATCTTTGTATCTTAAGATCTAACAATTTAAATTTTGAGTAATTGCTTTTAAGGCTAGTTTTTTTGAGCCGAAGACTGGTAGTACTCTGACAGAATTTTCCATGCTGAAGATGCCATAAAGCCATTTGGAGGATCTTCACTGTTTCTAGCTAGTTGACGCATTTTTGTTCCAGATATAAAGATAAAATTGTTCGCTCTTTCAGGGTCAAAGTAAGCCATCTTACGTTGTTCTTGATCATAGGCTGCAACCCGGAAAGGAATTATTTCCAGTTGTGTCAAGCCAGGAGCCATAGTCAAAACCTGGGAATTTGATACAAGTTACAGACTTTGCTACATAAGATATATTTCTATGAGACTTTACCATGACAGATAAGTGTAATTTATTACGGAAATTAAAGTAAGTGTAATAATTACTTTATATCGCTGGTAAAACAATATAAGAGAATACGTATGGGCAGGCTTAAGTCGTGTGTTCTACTGACACTTTACATACGTTTTAAATGGAATGTGCATTAGCCTAATTTGATTTCCCTATTCTCCTATGTATACCTAAGAATATTTAATTATAAAGCAATAAATGCTAGCAAAAACACCTTCTGTTATATTTGATACTTAACATACTTAACAATGAATTAAAGAAGTATAACACATGTTTTCAAAATATTAAGTTTCCTTTAACTTCTCCTTAACATTTAGTCGGTGAGCTTATGTGTTAAGCCCCTCCCCAGTGGCACAGCGGTATGTCTGCGGACTTACAACGCTAAAAACCGGGTTTCGATACCCGTGGTGGGCAGAGCACAGATAGCCCATTGTGTAGCTTTGTGCTTAACTTCAAACAAACAATATGTACTAAAGAGATAAATGTAAAATATCAAGTATTTTGGTAATTCTATACTGTTTATATTAATTTTATTAATACTCATTATTATTTTCTTCTTTTTTTTTGAAAACGTTATAATTTGACGAGCATGTTTCGTTAAATTTACATCAATAATTTTTTGTGTGTTATTTAGTGCAAAGATACATAACAGGCTATTTGCGCTTTGTCTATCGCGAGGAATCGAACCACGGATGTTAGTGTTTAAGTCCACAAACCTACAGCTAATCCAATGGAAGACGATGTTTATAGAAGAAACGTTGCTTCTGATCAAAAGTTTCGCAACAAATACTGTTTTCATTAAATAGGAATATATTGTCTACCATCTGAAAGTTATCTTGTTAAAGTTTTGTTTGTAGTGTCCACAGTAAAATGTTATTTCAATTTATACTATCACTGTCCAAACCATTTAAGTAATAAAAGCTGCTAAGCTGTAAAGCATTCTTGAGAAAGCTTCTGAAAGTTGTATTATTTGTTAACTTAATAACAGGGAAAAAAACACATAACAGTAAGACTATTTTTATCAAATAAAAAAGTTTAAGTTGTTTTTCCTTGTAACTTTTTCACAAAGCAACGAAATCATATTTGACATACAGAAATTTTAAACCAAATATTTCAATCAAACATCAATATTATGGAATTGTGGGTAGCAAAATAAGAGCATACTTGGTCCTTATATTTCCGAGACTGTTTCTTTGTTCCCTTGTGGTTTAAGCACAAATATACACAATGGGCTATCTGTGCTCTGCCCACCACGGGTATCGATATCCAGTTTCTAGCCATTGTAAGTCCGTAGACGTGCCACGGCAGAGTACAGATAGTCCATTGTATAGCTTTGTGCTTAATAAAAACAAACAATAAAAAGTAGAAGTAATTTTTTTTTCTTTTTGAATTTCGCGCAAAGCTACACGAGGGCTATCTGCGCTAGCCGTCCCTAATTTAGCAGTGTAAGACTAGAGGGAAGGCAGCTAGTCATCACCACCCACCGTCAACTATACCAACGAATAGTGGGATTGACGCCACGGCTGAAAGGGCGAGCATGTTTGGTGTGACAGGGATTCGAACCCGCGACCCTCAGATTGCGAGTCGAGTGCCTTAACCACCTGGCCAAAGTAGAAGTATATGATGATTTATTTTAATTTTACTTACAGATCTCTCCATTCTTAAGAAATAATGTGACATTTTTACAG